TACGTCTCTCTCTCTCTCTCTCTCTCTCTCTCTCTCTCTCTCTCTCTCTCTCTTTCTCTCTCTCTCATTTTTTGTTCAGAGAAAAAAGGCCCAGACAGGACAATCTGTTGAGAAATGTGCATTTTTGGTCTTATTTTTAAAGGATGAAGTTTCTATAAAGCATAGTGTTTATGAAAATAAAAATAAAGCTTCACCTTAAATCTTCGTATGGAGAGTATTTTTGGCAACAGGAATCTCCCTGATTGCTGGAAAATCAATTTCCAATACGGACAATAGAATTTAAAACTAAAAAACTGGTAAGCAAGATCTTGGTACACTTTTTTTAGGGCGAAATGGGTGGTCTAGATAATTTGTTATAAAATACATTATTTTTAAAGCTTAAAATCTAAGTATGCAAGTCGAGATGATTGAAATAATGGTTTTCCAATGTTTGAATTGCAATTTTCAATGAGGTATGAGGTGATGCTTAACTTGTTTTGATGAGCTGCAGTCAATGGTGGAAGAACAGGGAGATCTAACTAGTAACTGCCCATTTAGATCGGAGTCGGCCTTTTGTCGGTTTCGGTTTTGGGCGGTTTTGGTGATCGGCATGTATTTAGTTTTTTTTTAAAAAAATGTTTATAGAATCCCAAAAATAAAGAATTTGGTTTGTAGTATATTTTTTAATATTCTTTATATTATAGTTAGTGTTAAAATTTATTTTGGCCATTAATACACTTTTATATTTTGTCATTCTTTTAAGAAAATTTTAAGTGGTTTTCATATTTTAGTAGATTTTTTTGTATTTTTTTTTACTTTTTTTGACAATTTTTTGATGGTACTTGCGAGAACAATTGAATTAGATGGATTATCGGTTAGGTTGGTTAAACTGTTTCTGATTCCATTTTTGATTAATTGTTTCTATTCGATTTTGCGAACAGGCCTATCGAACCAGTTTTCAGTTTTTAATGGGTGAAGCATTTTAATGAGAAGTATGGAACGAGAACGTGTATTGCCAAACTTGCCCATCCTCTCTCTGTCTGATACACAAAACTCTCTCTCTTTCTTAGAAAAGTGAATTGCAGACTTGCCTGCTGTCTCTTACCCGCCCCCTTCCCCCAAACAAAAAAAAAAAAAAAATCACCCCCTATTGACTTTCGTGGCATGATTTGGGTCCAGCAGGCTTCCCCATTTTAAAGTTGTTTTAAAGTAGTTTTAGAAGCCGCCGGAAGTTAAGGCTTCCAAGATAGCATGGCACCTCCCATTAGCGAGCACAAAAGTTGCTATGAAGTTGTGGTTTCTAGGTATCAAACACACCCTCCAGTAGTTGGTCACAATGTTTTATGGCTGCATGAAAAAGTAAATAAATCTTGAAAATTTAAAATAATAATTCTATTAAGAAAACATTTGGACAGTTAGTTTTAAGTATTTTTAGATGGACCACCTATTTGCGTCTATCTTTAAAATGGTATTTTTAGATGGACCACCTATTTGCGTCTATCTTTAAAATGGATGTTGTATACTTCAAGGATTGCAAATGCAGAAATGCGGTTCCCACTGCATGAAACAATTTTCCTTGTTTAAAAGTGTATATTTTTTGTTTGATTAACTTGTGTTGATTGGGAATTGGGTTGGGGTCGTAGTGGTAGCACCCTGCATCTTGATCACCATGTTGTGGCTTTCATTCTCATCACTAAATCACTCCACTAATACTTTAAAAAAAGCTAATTCTTAATCTACTTGAAAAAATTGGTCGGGGCCTGTTTTCCCCATTGAATTACCAAAAAAAAAAAAATCTCGTGTTGATTTTGGGAAAAAATGAATTATGGACCTTACGGTCCCTGAGAGAAATTGTTCGCAACTAGGTATAGTTTTTCTTGGAAAATATTTATAAACTATAGTTAGCAAGTCTCCGTTTAAAATATGAAAATTTTAAAAAATATTCGATTTTTCAAATTCCATTAAGAACTTGAGTTTTTCAAAATATCTTCAAACTATCATGTTTTTTTAATGGAATTGTATACAATGAAACCATTTATCTTTGATATAAGGTGGCCACAATTCCTTACAACCATTTGATATGAATTTTGATAGCTTGGTTGTGCAACATTTTTCAAGAAAATTTCTTTTGAAGTTTGAGTTTGGTCAATGGAATAATTGCAGCCACCTAATTTTACATCCAATGGTCAAGGTTAATATGACCACCTTGTATCAAAGGTAAATGGTCTTATTTTTTATCTTTTTTCAAAAAAACGTTTTTAAGATACTTCTTTCTATAACTTTATTTCTTCACAAACTTAGTGTTATTATGTTCAAAGATAACCACATTAACCTTGCAAGTAAATTAAGAATATTTATTTAACAAAAAATTTCATGACAAGCTTCACCAATAAGTTCCCTTAGAAAAGTTGTATGAGAAAATACAAGCAATATACTACCCAAAAAATAATATATCAAAACAATTGTATATCTCAAAATAATAGGTAGAACTAGAAGAAGAGTAACCCAATAAAAAATATATATTTTTTTAAATCCAAAGCATCTTTATAAATAGCACGAGAGAGATTTAATGATACTAAAGGTTTAGGCAGCTAGGAATTCAATATGAGATTTCAATTTGTTTAAGCATTTTGTTGCTGTCTTTATACATAGAGAAATTTGATTAATTTTATATTTTATATTTTATTTTATTGTAAATTGTATTTTGAATGGACCATTAGTTTACATATTTGGATCTCTGTGTTTTGTTTTAGTTAACTGTACTCTTATACTGGTGGTATTTTTTGTTTTCTTCTTTGAACTATAATCCTATACTTTGCTCTACTGGTCTTGTTATTTACTAATGTAATCCTAATATTTAGTATTATTTTTGTTGTTTCATTTTATTCTCCAATAAATTTATGATATGTTTTGTGTTATGACAATAGAGTAAATATTGTTATTGAGTTTATTTATTACTCTAATGACACTACGTAAGAACATAAAATCATTGTTCAATAGCTTTGATATATCTATATAGTAATTATAAATCATAACCATACAATATGTCAGTTTTACATATCCATTTTTTCACTCCGACTTTTTGAGCCAAATCCGAAATATTCACAATTCTATAACTTACCTTATTTTTTTTGACAATCCTTATTGTTTACCCGCTTTTTTCATCTAACTTTTTGAAATAAAATCGATTTATTATCGATGTTTTGGTTCGTCGATATATTATTAGTCCTTGATAACTATGATATAGGCCTTGAAGTTGGTCAATCTAATTGATTTAGCTCAGATTTTTTAGGGTTTAAGTATCCAAAAACATTTAAAGTCTAAACCATTATCAATATATTTTTGCTCCAAATATATAAATTTTGGGATGGTATATAATAAAACCATTTACCTTTTGTACAAGAAGGTCACAATTACTTTGAGCTTTGAACTTTGAGCTTGATCAATGAAATAAATATAACCATCCAATTTCACATCTAATGGTCATGATTATTTGTGACCATCTTATACCAAAGGTATTATATACTTTCCCATAAATTTCTAAGCTAAAAAAAATAGTGCTGATCAAATGGGGGTATTTGTACAATTAAAATAAGAAATTGTATACTATGACATCATTTACCTTTAATACAAAGATGTCACATATATCTCAAAGGGTGATGCCTCAAGGTTGGGGAATTTTGAGCTACGTCAATGACAAATTCAATTTATAAGATTAATTTATGTTAGTTTCACACAAAGATGTATTGTTTTAAGAATAATTATCTAATGATTATAAAGTGTTACTAAAATTTGAGTCCGGAAAAAATCCTCCCAAGCAGCAGGTCATTTGACCGAGGGAGTAGAAGTAAACCAATGTTCCTGAGGGAGCATAGAATATCCAAAAACCATAGAACCCTCGTGCCTCTCTCTTTCTCTTTGGAGTCGTGCCTCTTTCTCTTTCTGTGGAGTGGAGCACGAGACCGAGAATCAAAAAGTCTAGAATTCACATTTCTCTTGCTCTCTCTAAGAAGCTCTAGGTAAGCTTATGTCTCGAATCTCCATCTTCGAATGCGAATTTTGCTTACATGTTTCCACTTTCAAATTGATATCTAAGATTTCAGTCCATTCAAATTGATTTCTAGGGTTTCCCATCACCTGAAAACCTTCACTTTCATCTCTCTTTTCGCTTTCAACTTCTTTTCTGATTATTCAAATTCTTCGGTCCAAAATTGAAACTTTCCAATTTTATGTGTTTCCATTTGAATCCCACACTTTTTTAATTGGATTCTAGGGTTTTTTGTTGTGTCTTTTTGTCTGCTCATCTCGAGTGAGATTGGAAACTCTTCTCAATAACAGACTTTGGCAGTAAATTTTCAGAGCTGAATTCAACTTTTACACTGAAATTTTCCAATTTAATTTCCTGAAAATCGATAACTTCCATGATCTTCTGATCGATTGGTTCCGAATCCATATCCATGGCGCCTGCTTTCACCTATCGTTTTGCTTCTAGGCTTCTTCGAACCTCCGTTTCTCGTTTCTTAACCCCCCGAACTACTCGAATTCCTCCATCAGTTACTTCTGTAGGTTTAGGGTTTCAATCTCGCCAAACTCCATTGGAGCCGTTCTCTACACCTGGTCTCCGATACCTGGCAACCCTAAGACGGCAGCCCTCTCGTCCTCGCAAGGTAGACATTGGAGCTAGGGCACGACGGTTACAGAACCGAAGGCTATGGACCTATGCCCTGACTTTCAGTGGAGTCGCAGCTTTCATAGTCATTGTCATTTACAATTTTGAAGACCAAATGGTCTTTTATGTTACCCCAAGTGATGCGCTGGAAAAATTCTCGGCTAACCCGTCAAAAACCAAGTTTCGATTGGGTGGTCTCGTTCTTGAAGGGAGTGTAGTTCACCCCCCTTCTTCTTCTGAAATGGAGTTTGTGATCACTGATTTGATCACTGATATTCTGGTTAAGTATGAGGGCCCATTGCCTGATCTCTTTAGAGAGGGGCATTCAGCTGTCGTTGAGGGGCATATTCGTCCTTTTACACCTGAGGATAAGCAGGTGGAATTGTCTGGTAGGGCTCGTGTTTCAGAGAAGGCAAGAACGGGAGATTATTATTTTGCTGGAACAGAGGTGCTCGCAAAGCATGATGAAAAGTATATGCCTAAAGAGGTGGCAGCTGCTTTAGAGAGGAATAAGGCTAAATTGGAGGAAGCTCATTCGGCTCAATTGACTCAACAGCAGGTGGCAAGGACAAATTGATATGGCTATTTTTTATGTTGATTTAGTCAAATTTTGGATCATTTGGATGTTTCAATTTTGTCAACTTTGGGTTTTTTTGTTCCTTTAGGTTTGATAATATTGTGGGGTTTTTTTCAAGAAGAAACAAATGAAAATGTGGGTTTCTTTTGTCATATTCATAATCTCAATTTTGGGGGGCTTAGGTTATAACTGAGGCTTTTGGTGTTGGGACTTGGATTGCCTGTGCCGTGACAAAGTGGAGATGCTTATACATTTCCTGAGGGAGCATTGTTCTCCATGTTTATTTACATTCTTTGTTGTAATGGGACTGTTTTTATTGTCTTTCTATTGTATTGGATATTCACCTACTTATTGGAATAAAGCAGTTTAAAACTGTGGAGAGTTTATTGGCTGATGCATTTGTTTTTTTGGCTATCTCTCTGAGGGATGTGATATTGAGAGCTTGTTGTAGGAAACTGTTTCTTTTCTTCTTCTTTTTTTTTGGTTACCTGTACAAGTGAAGTTGTAACTATGATAAATAATCTGGTTGTATTTTGATTCTACTAATGATCCCTTATTTGTCATCTTATTTTACTGCTGAGTGGTCCTTTATATTGTGGCACCTATGTTGACTGTTGATATGTCATCTTTTCGGCCTTTGACTTTTTTAGTTTCTAAATTAGAATACGCTCTTCATCTATGAAATAATATAGAAAATTTCGTGTGAAAGTTCACGTAAGACATTGTATGGTGTATTCCTATGTATTTTGTGTTCTGTTCAACGATCCACAGACATCTTTGGCCCTTTAATTCTGCGTTACTCAATTTGTACACCTAGTTGCCAGAAATACCTTAGAAGATTTGTGGGGATGGAAACAGGAACGAATGATGTGACGATTTTCCATTACGAATTGCCCGGGGATATCCAAGATAGTCCTGGCAGAAGGAATGCCACCCGTTTGTAAGGTTCAAAATATGCTCTCTTCCTTTTACACGAAATGCAGGAAGTAAATAACGTGGATTTTTCTTTGTTTATTGCACCGGTGAATGTGAGGATTTTGTGAAGCTCTGGTGCATTCTCTCTTTCTAACTCTACGTGATCGCCTCTAATATTCATGGTTTTGGGGGTGTGGTCAATTTTGCTTTGGCATGGTGAAATTCTAGTAAGTCCTCAGGGAACCTCCAGAGCATATCATAATATCAAAAGATATATGAGTCAATTGATTTGGCTCAGTTCAACTCCACCTAATATTGGGTTAAGTTTCTATGTAACATGGGCTGATCTTTTCACTGATTGTGTTGAGCTAGAGACGACTCTTGCTAATTTTTGTGTCTACAATACATTTTCCCTTTATTTTATTGAGCCTTTAAGGCCCTCCATATTTGGCCTTTTTATACCTCTGGAGATGTAAACATTGATATAGACTCCACAGTGACACTTGTTAAGAAATTTGCTTGGAGAAACTGTGTACTCTCTTATCGATTTTAGTTGTCCTTCTTTTTACCCTTTTTAAGGAATATCATGTTGTGAACTTGGCTGAAAATGGTTGGAGAGACCAGGCCTTTGGATAAACTGTTGACTTTTTTACCCTAGGTTGTGCTAGCATCTTGAAAATAGTCAGGCACTTGAGTGTCACTGTGACCTTAACTTTCAATTCACAATGAGGTTACAAACCTTAACTTTTAAGTCGCAAAACCTTATATTCATGGAATGTCTTATAATCATAGAACTAAGTCGCGGAACCTTATATTCATGGAATCTCTTATAATTAGTGAAGTGTTTTGGTCCATCTACTATATATATATATATATATATATATATAGTATTATATATATATATATATATTACGTAGTAGTAACGTAAGAAGTAAGAGTA